GATGGAGTTCCGCAGCGTTCATCTGCCAGCCATCAGGCCTCCTGGATTACAGCAGCCGGGCACCGTGAAGCGCCAGAGGGACCCCGCGGCCCCCTTTCACCCCGGCCCCAAGCGGTGTCAGCAGTGCAAGCCCACAGGCGCTGGCCATCTGTGAAGCCTCAGCGGTCATGCCTGCCCAGGACAGTGCGGTAGCAAATCTGAGCCCTCTTGCCTCCCCCGAGCAGGGCCGCCCGACTCGGAATTGGCCATGTTCGGCGGAGGGGAGCAGAAGAGCGGCCCCCTTGTTGGCCGGCACAGCAGTCCTGGGGAGGGAGGCAGCTGCCCCGTGGCTGGCTGCTCACCCTCCTGTAGCGCAATGGCCTGGCCTCCGTGCCTGGGAAGCAGAGAAATTACTTTCCAGAGCTCCAATCCTTCCACTTCGACCCCCATACCTAAGCCTTGGCTCCCCAGGCCGACCAGTTGGCTGAGAACCCCAGATGAAATGGGGTCGTGCTGCGCGGCCCAGGGGCCACTCGGGCTACGGGCGAGCAGGCCCAGCACTGACCTGGGTTGTGCGGTCACAAATAGAAGCCCAGCCACCCGCCGCCCTCTTCTTCCAGTGTCTCTGCTGGGTCAGCCACCCTTCCCGGGTCCAGCCTCCCCAGACGATCTTCCGGGCTCCATCCGCCCGCTGCTTCCTTAACGAGCCCGTGTTCCACCGCCTGCAGTTGTTTTGTTTTTTTTTGTTTGTGTTCCCGTGTGGGGAGTGGCGGGACGAGGGGGTGAGGGGCCAAGCTCAAACCACATGCCTCCTGCTGCCGTCCCCAGCAGCACCACAGCTCTGACACCACCGATGCATCCTCAGCACACCCAGGCCTCTCCTCGGCCATGCGAACTCCTGAAGGGGGCCCTAAGGGGCTTCCACGAATGCCCTAACTTGGGGCTGCCTTGGGACCACACAAACGTCTCCGCAGGCACACCCTGCCCCATGGCTTGTTGGTTACATGCCAGTCTCTGGTTGTCCCTGTGCTCCCTGGGAGAAGGATGGGCCCCTTCCTGGCTGGCCCCATCACCCCACCATTGCCCTTGTACCCCCTCAAGGCCACCTGCTCTGTGGAGGCCCCAACCCACGAGGAGCACCGGTAGGCCCTCACCCTCCACCCAGCCCCAGCACACCTGGCACCCTCAGGGAGGAGCCACCTGGTAGGACTCACTAGGCCTCCAGTGGCCCACTCAGGCCCAGAGTAGCCACCCACGCCTGAGCCCCAACACCCCTCCAGTCAGCAGAGCCAGATGGTGCCCACAGGACAGCTAGGCCGGCCACCCTGCCTGTGTTCCCAGTACCTCTAGTTCTCGCTGCTGAGCCGCCTGAAGCACAGGCAGGTTGTGGGGCTGGCAGGCCTGCTGGGCTTCCTGGTGCTTCTGCCGCAGCGCCTGCCTGAGCACTGGGAGGGATGAGAGCCGGTCAGCAGGCAGTGGGACTCGGCAGCAGCCCTCACCCATGGGCACCTGCCTTGCCAGTCCAGCAGAGCAGCCAGGCCAAAGGCGTATCTGCAGTGGGGACGCCAGCCTCCTCCATCTTCCTACCCTACTGTCACCCAGGGCCGGGCCCTCCAATGGCAAGTCTCCAGGGGACTCCAGAAGGTGCGGGGGACTGAAAGAAGGTGGGGTGGGGAAGACTGGCCAGGTGGGGCCAAAGCTGCAGCCCCAGACCCAGGGCAGCTGGAGGAGGCGGGTGGGAGGGAGGCTGCAGTCTGAGGGCTCCAGGGTCCATGGCCACAGGCCACTGGACATCTACTCAAGTGTCGGAGACCACCTCAGACAAAGGCATGGGAAAGGAGCAGGAGGAGCGGGGTCGCTGAGCCTGAGTGTGGGGCCTCTGCCTACCAGGGGTGTGCTTGGCCCCTCCACCCTTCAGGGTGGGCAGCCCCCTCCCCCATTTGCAGTTCCCAGCTCTGGCACAGCGCCAGACAGAGAAGGGTGGGCAGACCTGGGAGGCCCAAGTTTGGGATGAGCTTGGGGCACCATAAGCCTGTGCGGCTTTGAGGCGCTCACCCTTGGCCACCAAGTAAAGCTCCACAGTCCCTGCTAAACTGTGTACAAACACAGATGTGTGCAAACTGTCTAGTCTGAGGGGAATGTACAGAGGAAGTGATCATGGGACATAAACCACCATGAAACAGAACATGCAGCACCCCGCAGCTGGCGCCAGTGACCAGTAAGTGCCAAATGGCTACAGCTCCCCAGGAAGGAGGGGTTCCTGGTCACAAGAAACGTGAAACCCAACACTCTGTTCCTGGGAAGAGCCCTGATGTTGCAGCTCCTCTCTGGTGGCAAGTTTCCAGGGAACTTTAGGGTCCCTGAGGCTCCCCCTGCAGGTAGCCTGGCTCCCTCTGTGCCTGCAGCCTTCCCCGATCTCCTGTTTCTTGGCATTTTGTATACACCTCAATGATGGCATTTATCACATGAAATATGTTTCAAACCAAGAGCTCCCTCGAGACATCTCCATAACACAGGGAAGCAGGGAAATGTCACCTCCTTCACTCTACTGATCAAACAGTGCTACAAGTGCCAGGCCCACTACCAGATTCCACTAGGTAGGCAACCGAAAGGCAAGAAGAGAGCCACGCCGGCTGCCTGGGCAGAAGGGGCCTGGCCTTAGACATGCCCAGGGAACACAAAGGAGGCAGGAGCCGCCAGTCACCCCTGCCAAATCAGAAAGGAGAAGCAGAACGTCAGCGCAGGCATGCCTGCTGCTGGTGGAACCAGGGCCTGGCCCAAACAGCAATGGGCCTAGGGAATTACTGAAACTCCCCATCCCACTAGAAGGGACCAGGGCCCTGTGGAAAAATGGCCGATTCCAGGACTGAGACAGGGAGAAAACAAAAGATGAGCCTGAACACGCTCTGGAACCAGAAAGCAAGGAAGTGCTCACGGAATGATGGGGAGGCATCTAAAGGAGCCTGGAGCGCCCCCACTGGCCACACATAGCACAGTCTGAGCATCAAGGACTGAGCCATGCACTTGGGATTAAACTGTATGCCTCTTACAGCTCAATAAAAAATTTTAAAAAGACAATCGCCCAGACATTTAGGGGAAGAAGTAATGCCAAATCTACACAAACTCTTCTGGAAAACAGAAGAGGAGAGAACACTTCCAAACTCATCCTATAAGGCTGGCAAAAACCCTGATACCCAAACCAGATGATATTACATGAAAACTATAGACCACAGTTTGTCATGAACATACACCAAAAAATTCTTAAGATTTTAGCAAATCAAATCCAGCGTACATAAAAAGGATACTACAGCACGACCAAGTAGGATGGAATTCAAGTAACTGTAATTCACTGTAGTCATAGAAAATGATTCACCATGTGATCATCTCAAGAGCTGCCAAAAAGGGGTCTACCAAAATCCAACATCCATTCTTGATAGAAACACGAATCCCGGAGCAGATGGACAGTGCCTGCCTTCTGGGGAAGGGCGCCTTGCACCGCTAGGAGGAATTTTTGCCACATTAAACCTGCTTCTAATCAGGCTTCTACCAGCAGTCCAGTGTACAGGAAACCCAGAGTGGAGAAGCAGGTTAAATGCACGAGGAAGCAGCCTGATAGATCCACAGCAGGGCATTTGCCCCGGACTCTACACAAAGTCAATGCCATGATAAATGCTGGGGACTGTTCCAGAAGCAAAGAGACCAAAGTAGCCAATTGTAGTATATGAACTTGGACTGGATCCTTACTTATAAATCAACAATTTGCCACAAGCTAGGTAGCATGATGTGGCCGTGCACTGAAAGTCAGGAGACACCCAGAACAGTTAATTACTCAGGGGGCTACCCTCGGCAGCTGTGTAGGAGACCGTTCTTGTTCTAGAGAACTTGCTCCCAATCCGAGGCTAAGGTTGACCCCACCCCCTGGTTATCTGGAGGCATTCTTGGTTTTCTGGACTAGGGAGGGTACCCCTGCCACCCTGCAATGCGCAAGACAGCATCTCACCATAAAGACTTACCCAGCCACAAATGTCAACATTGCTGGGTTGAAAATCCTGGTCTCCAGGAACGCTGAAGACTCTAGGTGAACCGCTATGCTGTCACACGCACGCATTTTGGGATATCAAGCACTAGAGCAGAACGTTCACTACTGAACTTTCAGCGGCGAGCACAAGCGCACACAGTAGACTATCTTTTCAGCTTTTCTAAGTGTTTCAACTTTTAAAAGAAGTTTGGGAAAAATAAAATAGCGAAGGTTGAAATCTGATGGTGCAGGGGGACCTGGCCTATATAATTCTCAGGAAAGGACTCCCAAGCCCACCAAGCATGCGGCTCAAGTGGGAAGCTCTTCGGGTTTGGGAGGGCGCCACAGGAGACAGTGCTTAGGAATTTGATGTGCAACTGGAATGAGGCCCTGCGAGGTCTGAGAGGGAACTGACCCTGAAAGGCGCTCGCTGCACAGCTGTCAACAGACCTCCAACTACTGAGGGGCAACGCAATCAGTGCCACCACCAGAGTCTGCCTGTAGGCCAACCAGGCACCGAGGCCTAGGGCCGTCCGGTCTGGAAGGGGCTGGGGCACAGGGAAGCCCGAGCAAGGAGTTTCTGCTAAGAAGTGGGGGCTGCAGCAACTGAAAACAAAACTGGTTGGACCCACTAGTCACTAAAAAGGCGCTGTCTCAGTCTCCGCGCCCTTGATTTTGTTAATCTTAGGGACCTTTTTCGAACACTCCCAAGGAAGGAGCCGATCTGCACAGATACCAAGAGCTGCCGGCAGGCGCAGACCCCGAGGAGGAGGCACCTCGTCCCGCTGCCCCTGCGCACCTCGGTGCTCGTTCTGCAGGCGCAGGCGCTGGTTGTACAGGCTCTTTTCAGTGAGGTGCTGGATCTCCAGTAGCCCCTGCACGATTTCGAACACGGTGCCGTCGAGAAGCGCCAGGGCCAGGTCGCTGAGCGTGGTGTAGGACAGGCGCTGCTGGAAGGAGCTGCGGGGTAGGGGGGCGCGGTGAGCCCTGGAGGGACCCGACACCGCCTCGGCAGGCCGCCGCCCGCCCGCCCGTGTACCTGGGCAACTCCTTCACCAGGCTCTGCAGCGCGGACAGCAACTGGTAGTGTCGCTCTTGCTGCCGGGCACCGTCCGCCACCTCCTCCAAGGCGCCCGCGTATCGCTCCATCGCTCGGACGCCCGCTAGCCGCCGGCGGCAGCAATGAGCTTCCCCAGCCTCACGTCATCCCGAGCGCGGCGCGTCCCGCCCCTTTTACGACAGTCCCGCGAGCGGAGCGTCCCGCCCCCTTTTACGACAGTCCCGAGCGCGACGCGACCGGCAACCTGTCGTGGCCCGCGCCCTGCCGCCTGCTCATTCAGAGGGAGGCGCGCTTTGCCCCTCTGCGGAGACTCCGAGGAGGGTTTCGCTCAGCCCAGGCTTGCACTTGCCTGCTCCCTGCGCGACCTTAGAGGCGAGACTCCGCCACCTGGATATCGCAGGGCCATGGAGAATCCCACCGGCCCTTGCTGAGTCAGTGCGGGCTGAGGTCCCGGCTCCGCGCCGGCGAGCCTGCAAGGTGGACTGTCCTAGTCACCCGCCTTCCCCCAGAGGGAGGGGGCTCGGGCCAGAGCCTACAGAACCTGGGTCTAAGGCATCATCTGCGGCCGAGCAGTGGCGCTGGGGTCTGTCTGCGTCCTCCCCGCCCCCGGGGTGAGACAGACGGGACCACCCTAGAGCCTCTGGGGCAGGACAGTCGGAGCCAGAGTCCCCATCTGGGCCTGCATGGTCGCCCGGGGCTGCCCGGTCCCCAGCCCGTGAGCCCAGACTACGCTCTCCCCGCTCCCCAGGCCAGCTGCTGGGCCGGGGCTGGGGGGCTTCTGGTGGCTGGGGCTGAACCGGCTAGGAACAGGCTTTAATAGGAGGGGTTGGGGTGGAGGAAAGGCTTCTGCAAAGGCCCTGCCAGAATCAGGTCAGGTGGATGGACGAGAGGACCGGTGTGGCCAGGCTGCGGAAGCCAGCGCAGGAGACAAGGGCGGGGGCTGCTCATTACAGAGGCTGCTGGGGGCTTGTCCGAAGAGCGGCAGGGGGCACGGAAAGGCTTGGGGACTCAGACACGCTCAGACTTGCGTTTCACCGGGCACTCTTTAGCTGCCTGCGGGGTGGCTGGGCTGTGTGGGATGACCCTGCTTTCACCAGGTTAGGAATGACTGGTTTCCAGAGAGAACATTGGTTAGTGATTGGCTATGGGGGAGAGGGGGCGTTGAGCCAACTGGGGTCCCCCTGAAGCGCCAGCAAAGTCTCTGGTTTTCTCCAGCATCTGTTTCCTTAGTCCCTGGCAGGATTGGCTCCGCTGCATGCCATGTCTGTGTGATCCCTTCCAGCCAGCAAACCAGGAGTGAATAAAGTGAATAATGACAACAAGCGCTCAGGTCACTGCCGTGGAGGGTGGACCACAACCCAGAGCTGCTCATGCGCCGGGCACCCTGGCCTCCAGGTCCCTCGGAATGGCAGGAGCTGGAGGTGGGAGTGGAGACTGTGGGAGCTGAGACTGCAGTGAGTGGCCAGGAGCCAGCTGGGGCTGGGCTTGGTCATTGACACCTCCCCCCTAGGTCGTGAGTGGGATAAGCAGCCCAGCTGCTGTGGCCAGCTGGGCAACACTGTCACCAGCTCCGGGGGTCTGCCAGGTGGGGTGGGGGCTGTGAGCCACAGCAGGAGCGAGCCAGGCCTGGGTTTGGACACCTGCTGCTCTGCTTCGTCCGGGTGCTGATGCAGGAACGCCCCTTCTCCCACCCTTGGTGCAACATCTGACCTGAACCAGCTTCCCCAGCCCAGCAACACTGCTCCCCTAATGTGGATGTCAACCTAAAGAAAGAAACTGAACCACGGTTCATATAGAGAGTTTGTCTGGGCCAAGGCTGAGAGAGCTGCCCAGGACACACCAAGTTGCCCTGGGAGTGCTTCCTTCAGCCTTATCACAAGCAAGTTTTTAAAGACAAGGCGACAGGGCTGGATTGGCTGCCTGGATTGGGGACAGGCTGATACGAAGTCAGCAGGAATTCTGACTGCTTTCCAGAGAGAACCTTAGTGACTGGCTATACAGTGTTGGACTACAGGGTAAGAGTTATGGTGTCCAGCGCATGGCTTTTTATATCTACTTGGCATCAGTCTAGAACCCACAGAGCAATTGGCTTCAAGAGGTCTTTAGCTCAAGTGGGAGTGGGATGTGACTGCTGTTTCATTCCAGTGCCTCTGTGGGCCAGATAATTAAAGGGGGCTCACATTCCTCAGATAAAAAAAGTTCCTTTTCGCATTAGGAGAAATATGTAATGTAGATGATGGGTTCATGGACGCAGCAAACCACCATGGCACGTGTATACCTATGTAACAAACCTGCACGTTCTGCACGTGTACCCCAGAACTTAAAGTATATATATATATATATAAAATAAACTTCCATTGTGCTGACAAACACACACACACACAGTTCCTTTTCTTTTTCATGGACATGAGCAGTGGGTCACTCAGGCATGGGGACTCCTGGACCACCTCTGGGTCTTCAGGGAGGCCCTGGTCTGGAAGGAGGGGTCTCATCCTCCAGAGCCCCAGGGATGGGTGATGCGTGTGTAGGAATGGGGGAGCTGGTGCACAGACGTGCGTGTCCCCTGTGTGTGTGGACACGGTGGGCGCCATGGCTCTTCACGTGGGGTGGTATCCACCGAAGGCCTTTGCTCTGCGGCCACTGTCCACCTCCATTTGGCCTCCCAAGTCCTCCAGGCTGGCTGGTGACACCTTGGGTTAGTGTGGGGTCACTGGTGTGTGTTGGGGAGCTGCAGGTCCCCTGTCTCTGACACAGGTGTGTCTGGGCAAACACCAAGGTTTGAAGGGATGGGCACCTGTGTGTGTGTGTGTGTGCACGTGTGGCAAAAGGCTTTCCTGCGTGGCTTTTGTGTGGGTCTGTCTTTGAGTGTCACATGTGCCTCTCTGTGTCTCTGTGAGTTTCCGTGTGTCAGGTTGTGTGTCCGTTGTGTGGGCGGAGAGACAGCTCTGCCGTGGGGCCCTGAGCCATTGCAGGATCCCCACAGGCCACGCAGAGGTGCGCACAGCAGCTGACCTAAGCCTGCTCCTCCCAGAACATCAGGTTGCACCCAGGCCACCTCTCACTCCCTCTGTCTCCCGAGACTGCTCCTCACTGCCTGCCTCGCTGGCCCTGGTGAGGGGGAGGCTGCCTGACCCCGGCCCCCACAACAGAGCCACAGATGAGGATGCCGCCCGGCGCAGTCTCCGGGGGCTGCTCCGCAGTGGGTGTCCCGCAGCGCGTGCTCTCTGACCCCTTTTGTTTCGGTGCTGTCCTTTTTAGTGTGTGGCACCAGGACGGCCGGGAGCTGCCACCTCAGGCTTCTCTTATTTTCACTCTGTGAGTAATCAGCTCCGAATGAGAGGGGCTCATTGTGTCTTTACTGTCCAATCAGTCAGGCCTTGGCCTTGGCATGTCTTGCGTGTGCTTGACCAATGTACTGCCCGTGGGGTCTGGTGGAGGCACAGCACCCTTTTAGAAGACAGGGTCTGTGCAGACCAGTTACGGGTGACATTTCCTGGGCACAGCTCTTGCCTAAGTGGTGTGGGATGGGAGGAGGGCAGGGCCTCCCACTGTCCCACCAGCAAAATGGGCAGTGTGGCCAGCTCCTCAGGACCCCAGAGCATTTGCTCCAGGTAGATAAAATGTTGCGGTGTTGGGTGCAAGAATAGGATTGAAACCAGCCACCCAGTTGGTGCTTTGTTACCATCAGAAGTGTTTGCTGAGTCAAAGCAAATGGCCACTCAAAACCGAGTGGGCTGAGTGTGGTGACTCACACCTGTAATCCCAGCACTTTGGGAGGCCAAGGTGGGCAGACGGCTTGAGGCCAGGAGTTCAAGACCAGCCTGGGCAACAGGGCGAGAGCCTGTCTCTACAAAATGTTTAAAAAATTAGCTGGCGTAGTGGCATGTGCCTGAAGTCCCAGCTACTTGGGAGGCTGAGGTGGGATCGCTTGAGTCCGGGAGGTCCAGGCTGCAGTGAGCCGAGATTGCATCACTGTACTCCAGCTTGGGCGACAGAGCAAGAACCAAATAATAAATAAATAAGTAAATCCATCCATCCACCCCACAGTGAGTCAGCTGGGGCTGAGAAGGCATGCCTGCTGCTGCGTTGCTCCTCCCTGAATGACAGGATTCCCTGGTTCCAGCCAGGAGACGATGATCAACAGCCACTGCTATAGCGGTGCCCAGTTAAAACTCTTTAGTTCCTGTTTCTGTAAAAAAAAAAACAAAAACAAACAAACAAAAAGGAGTGAATACCTCTTAACTCTTTCTATAAGGCCAGCATTACCCTGATACCAAAGCCAAAAACACTGTAAGAAAATAAACCAACAGATCAATATGCCTCTGATCATTGATGTAAAAACCCTTTAAAAATACTAGCATAATGGGCGGGGTGCAGTGGCTAATGCCTGTAATCCCAGCACTTTGGGATGCCAAGTCAGGTGGATCACCTGTGGTCAGGGAGTTTGAGACCGGCCTGATCCACATGGAGAAACCCTGTCTCTACTGAAAATACTAAATTAGCCAGGCGTGGTGGCACATGTCTGTAATCCCAGCTACTACTTGGGAGGCTAAGGCAGGAGAATCGCTTGAACCTGGGAGGCGGAGGTTGTGGTGAGTCGAGATTGTGCCATTGCACTCCAGCCTGGGCAACAAGAACGAAACTCTGTCTCAAAAAAAAAAAAAAAGGTAGGAATTAACTAAGGAGGTGAAAGACTTGTACAATGAAAACTATAAAACATTAGTGAGAGAAATTAGACATAAATGAATGGAAACATATTCCATGTTAATGGATTGGAAGATTTTATATTGTTAAGATATCAATAATACCCAAAACAATCTATAAATGTAATGCAATCCCTATCAAAATACCATGCTTTTTTTGCAGAAATAGAAAAACCTATCCTAAATTCATATGAAATATCAAAGGGCCCTGAATAGCGAATGTAATCTTGAAAAAGTAGAACAGAGCTGGAGAACTCACAGTTTCTGATTTCAAAACTTACCACAAAGCTACAGTAATCTAAACAATGTGGTACTGGCATGAAGATAGACATAGAGACTGACAGAATAGAATACAGAGCGCAGATTTGCAGTCAAATGATTTCTGATGAGGATACCAAGACCATTTAGTGGGGAAGAACAATCTTTTCAACAACTGGTGCTAGGAAAACTGAACATCCACATGCAAAAGAATGAAGTTGGATCTTCACCTAATAGCACATACAAAAATTAACTCAAAATGGAACAAAGACATAAATGTAAGACTAAAACAAAACCCCTAAAGGAAAACATAGAGGAAAAGCTTCATGACATTGGATTTGGCAATGATTTCTTGTGTATGACACGAAAAGCACTAATAGCAAAGGAAAAAGTAGACAAATTAGGCTTCATGAAAATTAAATATTTATGTGCATCAAAATACAATATTAACAGAGTAAAAAGGCAACCCACAGAATGGAAGAAAATATTTTAAAATCACATACTGAATATCATTATTCCTGATAAAGGAATAATAGACAGAATATATAGAGAACTACTAAAACTCAACAACAAAAAAAACCACCAACCCAATTTAAAAAATGAGCAAAGCAGCCAGGCACTGTGGGTCACACCTGTAACCCCAGCACTTTGGGAGGCTGAGGAGGGTGGATAACTTGAGGTCAGGAGTTCAAGACCAGCCTGGCCAACATGGCAAAACCCAGTCTCTACAAAAATTAGCATGGTATGTTGGTGCATGACTGTAGTCCCAGCTACTCGGAAGTCTGAGGCACAAGAATCACTTGAACCTGGGAGGCGGAGGTTGCAGTGAGCTGAGATCACAGCACTGCCCTCTAGTCTGGGTGATAAGAGTGAGACTCTGTCTCAAAAAAAAAAAAAATAAAATAAAATAAAATAAAATAAAGGACTTAAATAGACATTTTCCTAAAGGTATACAGATGGCCAGCAAGCACTTGAAAGGATGCTCAACATCATGAATCATTAGGAAAATGCAAACCAAAACTGCAATGAGACACCACCACACACCCATTAGGATGAATAGTATGTTAAACAAACAAACAAACAAAACAAAACAAAACAAAATCAGAAATTGCAAGCGTTGGTGAGGATGTGGAGAAGTCAGAACCCTTCTTCATTGTTGGTGGGGCTGTATGATGGTACAGCGGCTGTGGAAAACAGTACGACGGTTCCTCACAATACTAAAAATGGAATTGCCATATGCTTCAGCAACTCCACTTCTGGGTATATACCTGTGAACCCAAAATATCTCAGACAGGTCTCAATCAGTTTATTAATAGAAAGTTCATTTTGCCAAGTTTAAGGACACACCTGTGACACAGCTTCGGGTGGTCCTTGATGACATGTGCCCAAGGTGGTCGGGGCACAGCTTGCTTTTATACATTTTAGGGAGACATAAGACATCAATCAATAGTGTAAGATGTACATTGGTTCAGTCTGGAAAGGTGGGACAACTCAAAGAGGCAGAGTCGTCCAGGTCATAGGTAGATAAGAGACAAACTGGTGTATTCTTCTGAGTCTTTTATCAACCTTTTACTGAATACATAATTTGGTCCGGCTCAGTGAATTTGCATTTTTACATAAACAACAGGCAGAGGAGGGAATCCAATATGCATCTGTCTCAAGTGAGCAGAGGGATGACTTTCTGTCCTACATATTTGAAGATCAGTTATCAGTTTATATTGCCAGGGTGAAATTCAACAGAACTGTTTTAGGGTGAAGATCTTGAGGCCCACAGGAATTTCCTTGTAGGTAAATTGTAAGGGAGGTATGTAGCTGTTTTTGTTTTGTTTTGTTTTGTTTTGTTTGAGATGGAGTTTCACTCTTTTTGCCCAGGCTGGAGTGCAATGGTGCAATCTCAGCTCACTGCAATCTCTGCCTCCCGGGTTCAAGTGATTCTCCTGCCTCAGCCTCCTGAGTAGCTGGAATTACAGGTCCATGCCACCATGCCCAGCTACTTTTGTATTTTTAGTAGAGATGGGGTTTCACCATGTTGGCCAGGCTGGTCTTGAACTCCTAACCTCAGGCGATCTGTCCACCTCAGCCTCCCAAAGTGCCAGGATTACAGGCATGAGCCACCACACCTAGCCACTGTCTTTAATCTTTGTAGCTATCTTATAGGAATAAAATGGGAGGCAGGTTTGCCTGACATAGTTCCCAGCTTGACTTTTCCCTTAGTTTCATGATTTTTGGGTCCTTAGATTTATTTTCCTTTCATATACCCAAAAAGAATTGAAAGCAGGTTCTCAAAGAGATA